TTGCTGGAAGAGTGGAAAATGGATTTGCTACATGTAATTCTGGTCGATTTTCGGCCTCACAAATGTAACATCAACTTAAGACACATCCTTAGACTCAGTCAATTAATGAGTTAGGGAGAGATGTTCTCAACCTAACGAGAGACTCACTAGGTCGTCCCTTGCATATGTGAGTTTCTTGCTTCTTAGTTCGATTTTACATTCATACCTTGGTGATTTTGAATTCAGCATGCAGATTTTATGTTAAGTCAGTAATCCCTATTTTTTCTTAATTTTTTTTAATTTTTTTTTTTTGTGTCTATTTTCTCAAGGGACTTGTACCATACTTTAACAGCATTAATTTTTTTGAACTCAAAAAGTTAATCTCTAGATGCAATTTATAATTTGTCATAATAGCAAACGATTAATCAGCCAAAAAATCATAGAAAGAAAAGGGAGCTTAATATCAATTACAAGCAGTTTTACTCAGTGAAAGGTTGTATATCTTTATGGTTTCTTCTAGCTCCAAGCTTGAAGCCAAGATAAAGAGATCCAGTCGCCAGTTTGATTCGGCAGGTGACACTAAAGGAACCCAAAGAAATAACAAACAGAAGAGAGAGAGAGAGAGAGAGAGAGAAACAAAACCAAAAGTTGGAAAGAGATTAACACTGCTACACTGTTTACAATAGTTCGTTCGATATCTTTTCCATTGATTCCCAACGAAGTTCTTGAATATACGTGGAAGAAAGCCTAAAGGACATGCTAAGCTACAATCTATTACATCAGCCTCTGCCCGACACTGCATGTCAAAAACTAATGCACGCTACAAGATTTATAGCAAGGGCCTTTTGCACATGCAGACGGCTTAATTGATCTTCTGGTTTGAGTGTATTTTCCTTAAAGCTCTTGGTCACTTGCAGACTGCTTCACTGATCTTCTGGTTTCACTGCATTTTCCTTGAAGCTCTTAGTCAACCAGATTGCAGTTTCCCTTGAAGATACTTTTCCTGGCCCAAAAGGCTTCAGTAAAACACCAAGTTCTTCGATTCTGTCTTCTTGTAACAATCTTGCACTAAATTCAAGTAATCCTTCCAAAGCTTCAGCTCGTTGTCGGCAAGAAGACATATTAAAACGGCGGCGTCTTTGGTCTGATGAAGTTCGGCTTGACGTGCCAGCTGTAGCATTTTGATTGGAAGACTCACTTCCATCCTCTCTAGCATTAAATGCAGGTCCTTGAAATCTTTTAGAGCTCAATCTGTCAAATCTATCAGGAAACTGAATGGTGCATCTATCCTTCATAAGAGAGCGGTCACCCAGTGGTGAACTAGAGGAACCTTGCACAGAGGCAGATGAATTTTTATGCATCTGAAAGAAGGGATCCTCATATGACAATAAAGGAAATTCAATTATCTTATCAATTCGAGGGGCATTGACTGAGACATCTGGAGACTTGATGATGTTGATGTTTCCAAGACTCGGCCTATGACGGAAACTGCAAACTGCATCTTTGGCCGGTAATGGCAGAGAAGCTCTACGAGTAGTAGCGACAGATTTCTTAACCAAGGTTCTTGAATTTTGGAGCTGCATAGAAATTCTTTTCTGTAAAAACATGTAACTCGAGAAAAATCCTAAGCAATGTCATTAGCATTTAGTTAGTACTAAACTCCTAATCCATGTTAAATTCAGGAGGGAAGGGGAAAGGAAGGAGAAGGTAGGGATGTATACTTCTTCAACTTTTCCTTATTTTGTGTCAGGAATAAGGAAGGGGAGGGGAAGGTAGGAGAGAAAAGTAATGAGAAGAGAGA